GCGCTGCGCGCCCCCCCGCCCCCAGGAACCGCTCTGGCCACACTTCCGGACTCTATGGTCGCGCGGCCCGAGCCGGACGCAGCATTGACGAGGGCGGCCTGGGCCTGCCGTGCCGCGCTCGTCTGCCGCCACCGGCACCTGCGCCTTTCGCAGCACCCGCCCCTCTCCGGCAGCCGCGTCTCTGGGCTCTGTTTGCAAATGTAATGAAGGTGTAGAAAAGGAAACTAAGACCCCGAACGCCAATCACAACTGCCGAGTGGTGGCCGGGAAGGTGCCCAGGACTTGGAGCCAGAGGCACGACCAGAGTCCAGCCTCCGCCTTGGTCAAACATTCCTGACCTACGTAGATTGGTTTCCTTATCTATAAAACAACTTAATACTCCTGCGCGTCCTTCGCAGGGTTGTTGCGAGAATCAAAGTATGTATGAGGACGCCTTTTTAATTGCTGTGCAAATGTGACAGGTGGCTTTCTCTGGCCCCTTATTATTGACAGTGTGCTTCCATAGATTTTTCTATAGATGTAATCCATATGTTGTGTCTGTTATTTTTCCTTTAATTGATTTCACACGCACTTGGTTACATGCTATTCCAACATAGTGGTATACCTTTCATTTAATAAACATTGTTTCCTGTAGACCAGGGACCGAGCCCTGGTGTCACAGTGCTTAAAGCAAAACCAAAAGATCTGCGGTTGGAATCCACCAGCCGCTTCTTAGAAACTATGGGGCAGTTCTACTCTGTCCCATAGAGTCGCTGAGAGTTGGAATCCACTCGTCGGCAATGGGTTTGGTTTTTTGGGTAGACCAGTGACAGGAGAAGAATTAGATTCAAACCCTGCCCTTAATTTATCTACCAAACCAAAAAACCAAACCCATTGCCGTGGAGTTGATTCAGACTCATAGTGACCCTATAGGACAGGGTAGAACTGCCCCATAGGCTTCCAAGGCTGTAAATGTTACGGAAGCCACTGCCACATCTTTCTCCTGCGGAGCGGCTGGTAGGTTCAAGCCGCCGCTTTTGGTTAGCAGCCAAGCGCTTTAACCACTGCACCACCAGGGCTCCTGATTTCTCCCACCATTCCCTTACTGTTGAATTTCTGGATTGTTTATCATTTGTTCTTGTTCTGAATAAACATTGTATAAAAACGTTTTTATTCAAAAAGTTGTTTTTTTTTTTTTTAAATTTCTTTGGGATATGTTGCCAGCAATGAAATTATGCCAGTTTCAATTAATTAAACACTTTTTGAGCACGTTTGGAGTGCAAGACATTTATCTAAACAAAACATACAGGAACACAAAGTAGCTGAAGAACCATAGTTTCCCCCACCCCCTTAGAAGTTTATGTTGGGGAGAGAAATAGACAAAGAAGTTTAATATAAGAGTATGTCATTTGTGACAAGATGACCAGATGGCCTGGCGAGAGGGGTTAAAGTTGGGAGAGATCACTCCTTCGGAGAGAATCAAGAGTCAAGCAGGTGGCATATAAAGGATAAGTAGTATTTCTTAATGGCAGAGATTGGAAGTAGGGAGAAGCGCTTTCCCTGGGGACCTGATAACATGCACCAAAGCATCAGGGTAAGCAAATACAGGGTAGGTTCTGCCAACAGTGAGTACTTCCGTTTGGTGGGCTTGGGTTATGCCTAGAGGAACAGCAGTAATTAGAGCAGACCCTTGGTCTGACCTATACCATGGAATAAAAAACCAAACCCATTACTGTCAATTCTGACTCCTAGCAACCCTATAAGACAGAGTAGAACTGCCCCATTGCGTTTCCAAGGACCAACCGGTAGATTCAAACTGTCAACCTCTTGGTTAGCAGCCAATCTCTTAACCACTAGGCCACCAGGGCTCCATATCATGGAAGACCTCTATAAATACCAACAGTGAAGACAACAGAGCTCTGCTTTGATAGATGGATCTGGCAACAGGATAGAGAACTGACTGGACTGAAGAAAGGTGTGGCAGACAATCCTGTCAGAAGCATACTGCAATAATCCAGGTAGCTGGTGTGAAACAAAGGCATGAACAAGGACGATGGGAGAGTGCGGCATTGAGATGCGAAGGGAAGGGTCAGATGTAAAATACCTTGTAAAGACAAATGGACAGAACTTGACAACTGATTGGATATTAAAGGGAAGAAAAAGTTAAAAGATGGTGCCAAAATTTGGAACCCTAGTTACTACTGAGAGACTATAGTGTGTGTTTTTGGTTTTGTCTTAATTCAGCACCACTAGAAAACACCTGAATGGATATTTTTAAGCCAAGTTTGAAAGATACGGTTGAGATGATCCGATTTAAGGCAGGCAATGTGACATGGAAAATGCATTTGGAGGCCTTACATGAACCTCAAAGATTAAATCATTTTCCAGAAATGAGGTACAAGAGACTGAGGGCTGATGTCTCAGACAGAGAAACATAAAGTCACAAAGGACAGCAGTCTGAATTACAGACGCTGAGTTGCAACCAAGCCACTTCTCTCACGGTGCTCAAAGTGATTAGATACAGGAATTTATTTAGTTAATGATGGCTAGTAATACTCCAGGGAAATGCTAGTTAGATCAGCTAATCACTACAACTTAGCACAAAAGGTGCCTCTCAGTTCCTGAATAGTCAAAGCAGAAGGGTAAACAGATTTTTTATTATTCATGAAGAAAGCAGACAGCAACATCATGAAAGCAAACTTTCCTAGAACTAACATCAAAGGAGAATTTATTATTTGGACATTTAACAATACATGTTGCCATCAATAGCTGTAAATTGAACTATGTGACTCTCATAAACATGAGATGTAGAAACTGTCTTTACATCACCATTTCTTATACTAATCTTGTTAAAGATCCAAAAATATTTTTGGTTTGTCTACAAAGCCATTTCTATAGAAGGCCAAAGTAATGTAATCAAAATAGGTAAATTCTTAAATTTTTCATTTTAATTGTAACAATAAATGAGCTTGGTAAAAGGTGTATTATTCTTATTCTTGCTACTTTTATGTAAGTTTGGAATTATTTCCAAAAAGTTTTAATATAAATAAAATAATTTTAAATAGCTCTATTTTAATCCTTTTAATAACTGCCAAACTGTTTTCCAAAGCAGGGGTACCATTTTACATTCCACCAACAGGAGATGAGGGTTGATTTCTCCATATCCTCACTGACACTTATTATGACTTTTTGATTGTAGCCATTCTACTGTATGCCATCGAGTCACTTCTGACTCACAGCGACCCTACAGGACAGAGTAGAACTGCCCTATAGGTTCTCCTAGCCTGTAATTATCATCAGGTCTTTTCTCTGGAAGAGCCACTGGTGGGTTTGAACCACCGACCTTTTGGTTTGCAGCTGAGTGCTTAACCATTGTGCCACCAGGGCTCCTTGTAGCCATTCTAGTCTCTCATTGTGGTTTTGATTTGCAGTTCCCTAATGACTATGAAATTGAGCATCTTTTCATGTGTTTATTGGCTGTTTATATAACTTCTTTGGAGAAATGTTTATTCAAATCCTTTCCATTTTTAAATTGGGTTGTCTTTTTGTTTTTGAGTTATAGTTCTTTACATATCCTGAATATGAAACGTTTATCAGATATATGGTTCCCAAATATTTTCTTCTAGTCTGTGGATCTTTCCATCTTCTGAATGTGTCCTTTGAAGTACAAAACTTTTTAATTTTGATGATGTCCAATATATCTTTTCTTTCTGCTTGTGCTTTTGGTGTCATATCTAAGAATCCACTGCTAAATCTAAGGTCATGAAGATTTACCTATATGTGTTCTTCTAAGAGTTTTATAGTTTCTGCTCTTATATCTAAGTCTTTGATCCATTCTGAGTTAATTTTTGTGCATGGTGTGAGGTAGGGATCCAACTCCATTCTTTTGCATGTGGCTATCCAGTTAACCCAGAATCATTTGTTGAAAAGATTTTTTCTTCATTGAATGGGCTTGCATCCTTGTGGAAAATCAGTTGACCACAGACACATGGATTTATTTCTGGACTCTCAATTCTATTCCATTGATCCACATGTCTATCCCCGTGCCAGTACCACAGTCTTGATTACTGTTGCTGCTGTAGTAAATTTTGAAATCAGGACGTATGAGTCCTCCTACTTTATTCTTGTTTTTCACGATTGTTTGGCTAACCTGGGTCCCTTGAAATTCTATATGAATTTTAGAATCAGCTTGTCAATTTCTAAAAAGAAGCCAGATGGGATTCTGACAGGGATGGTGTTAAATCTGTAGATCAGCTTGGGGAGTACTGCCAAACAAACAATGTTAAGCCTTCTCATCCATGAACATGGTATGTTTTCTCATTTATATAGACCTTATTTAATTTCTTTCAACAATGTTTTATTGTTCTCACGGGATAAATTTTGCATTTGTTACAAATTTATTCCTAAGTATTTTATTCTTTCTGATGCTATAGTAAATGAAATTCTTATTTTCATTTTCTAATTTTTTATTAGAAGTATATAGAAATGCAATTGATTTTTGTATATTGATCTTGTATCCTGCAGCCTTGCTGAACTAATTTATTAGTTATAATAGTTTTTTAGTGGATTCCTTAGGATTTTCTATATACGTGATCATGTAATATGTGGAGTTTATTTTTTTGGTGGTGACTCTAGAATTTA